CATGACCAATGCTGGAATCAACAATGACTTTAAATACAGAACATTTTTGTGGAAAAGATCACCAGAATCAAATTCTTGATGGCTGGCAAACCTACATCACTCATCTGTATCACACTCAAATATCTCAACTAGGCCATAGATCTTTTCAAAACTGGAGTAACTCTCTGGTACTCCAGGTTCTGTGTTGAAGAAACTAAAAACACTCAACCTTCAGTAATGCAGTATTTTAACTGCCCATACACTGCTTCTTACTATTGATGCCCCAAGTTCCTGTAGGTCATTACCAACTAGTATAGGAGAGAAACTCCAGAACTGATGAGACCAGCCCCACAATCACAATGAGACCAATGATCCACTATTACACAGGATCACCCTAACCATGCAGTCACACAGACATTGTCCACATCCAGGAAGCAGACCATAAAGACCTCTGCAAATACTTCTGGAGCAGAGCCACAAGCAGCTCACACAATGTTACTTTGTGTCTCTTTGTAATTTATAATTTTTTAACAGTACTTCAGATTAATATTCAAGGAGATTTATACAAGAAATGTGAACTTATAACATTAAGGCTGATATTATCACAATCAACAAAACCAGACTCTACAACATATCATGCTTTAATTTGCCAGGATAAAACATCCAAGCAAAACCAAAAGCACCGAGTAATACGGGAATTGCGATTATTTACAAAAATAATCTCAATTAAACAGACCCACTCATGATCACGTTCTCTGCAGAATTCAGGTACCAAACTTTCCAGTGATTACCCCTCTTGCTCTACATATAAACCCAACTAATTGTTAATTTCATAAATACCATAGTATAAGCCTATAAGCATACCATAATAGCGGGTGATCTTAACTATAAACCCATAGATTTTAACTGCCAAAAAAACTAACCAGAATGAATCCAAAATAATAATTTAATCATTATCAATGACAACACTCCAACACATGTTCACCACATTGGCTCTGCCAGTATGTTGGACCTAGCTATTGTAATCTCCCTTTTACTAATTTCAAAATAGAAGAATCATGATCCCATCTCTTTCCAACTATAAAGGAATCAACTGGCAAATCTTTAACACTGAGTTAAGTAATCATTTACCAGATTCATAACTTCTGCCTCCTCTGAAATGGTAATTGACACATAATGTTACATATAATGCAAACAAGCAATAAAATAGTACCAATCAAAATAACCAAACCTCAAGCAAATGTTTGGAAAATTACACTGCAAATACTCTCACTAATAAAATAAAGCAGTACTATTTGCCACTACTTTCAAGAAACATCTGTAACACCAAACCATGTCTCCATTGACATAAAAACTTTCAGTTTCTGAATACATTGATTGATAATAACCCAGAAAGTTCAAATCAAATTTCCTGATACAACTTAAATCTGACAGTACAAACCTAGCCCATATAACCAAACCCATAGTAATAGCTGAAATCAAACTCAAACTAGTGCCTGATGATGACAAAATTAATAATTTAATTATTAAAAATGCACCTTGCTAAGCCATTTAAAATACCTATTTAATCTATGCCTCCAATCAGGCTATTACCCAACAAACTGGAAGTTAGCAATCATCATGGCTATCTCCAAGAAAGGCCTCAGTCCTCACAACTCGGATGATTTCAAACCCATAAAATTTACTCAATTGTAAAAAACAATCTCTATATGTTTGCTCTAGTACTTAGAGAACAACTCATCACCAAACATCAACACAGAAACACAAACAAACAGCAGATCACCTAGGAAGGTTAGCGGAATCAGCTCATCATGGCTTTAATTGTAACCATGCCACTGTCACAGCTTTCCTAGATGTTAGGAAAGGTTTTGACTCTGTAGGCACCATGGCCTTAAATTCAAGCTTATTCAACATAATATCCCAAATATCATCACACAATTGATCACCAGCTTTCTGAGCAACCGCTCAGCAAATGTCCGTATAAATGACATATCACAATCTTTCAAATTTAATGCAGGCATCCCACAGGGTTCTGTTTTACGTCCTTTACTATACATCTTTTATGTAAACGACTTAACCAAACCACACAAACAATTCACAATTGTACGTCACAGTATGCAGATGACATCACCATCTGGAGTACTTCTCGTGACCCCCTCCTCCCACTTGCAGCTAGCAGAGTTCAAGAACTATTAGATATCATTGTAATGTGGTGTAATAAATGAATGAAGAATAGAATTAAATTTGATGAATGCCCATACAATCTAGTTTTACAAAAGATTAAACAAGAAATTTTCATGGTTAAAAAATGTAATAGACCAAGCACCCATCAGCTTCACAGAAAACATAATTTCTTGGTATCATATTCAATAACAAATTCTCATGGTTGCCCCACTTGAATGAAATAATACGAACAAGAATAAAATATCTCCACAAGATAGGGCACAAAGTGCATGGATGTAGTTCCAAACTCTCATATTAGTTTATAAAACATTTATTAGACCTCTAATCGATTACAGGACAATGGTGACATGTAACATGGTTGTCAATACTTAGAGCAACTTACAAGTCCTGCAAAACCATGCATTATGTATAACTCTTCACTTCCCTCAATAAAATGCTCATTTATATCAACCAATAAAAGGAGATTTTCTCAGCTAGCTACCATACAAAATAAAAACTCACCTGACAGTTCTCTACCCAATCAGCCACTCCATTGCCCTGGAATAGATATTCACTGCCAAATAATTTAATACATAACAGTCAATTATCACCTACCATCCTAAGTGCAAATAAACATGATCATTAACTTCTTATCTTGTTTAAAAGTTTTATCATTCCAAGATTTCCTGTGGATAACAATTTGGGCACTGGCCAGGTAGAATATTTGGCATCCTACCAGTAAGAGTGGGATTTTTCGGGGCACTCTTATTTCTCTCTCACACACCAAAATTAAAAGGCATTGGATTTGTAGATCCCAGCCACCCTGAAGATGTTCCATGTTTGACATCATCATCATTATTAACTAACTTTTGCCTTCACCTCTGTCCCCACCCCCTTTCCAGATTAGTTCCAAACTCTATTTTCAGGGTAAAGGAGAACTGTTTAATCCTCAAGCACCCCAAGTATCTCAACCCCACAGAAGCTTCTTTGAAAGCTGCTGTTGTCCATGTTTTTGTGATAAACCAGGGTTTTTTGTGAATTCCCATTAAATTGATTTCTTTTGCTGACCTTGTAATGTACTTTTTTTTCTGCATATCAAGATAACTGTAGTGTCAAATGTTAATGTTGAAAATTTACATTATAACCCCTATATATATGATGGAAACTATGCTATACGTTACAGTTTTGCTTTGGATTTTAAAATATTCATGTATCTCTTTCCAAAGTATACCAAGTAACAATGATACAAGTCTTAATAGGAAATTTTCCCTGGATACTTAAATAAATCCATCTTACATAGAAAACTTCTAAAATTCATATGCCTAAGTCAAGGGAAACTAAGATAATAAGAATAAGGTAAAAAACTAATTCACTGTAACTTCACAATGATCAATATCATTAATTGAATAAGCTGATAAACTACATGGTGAACTAACAGCTTAAGATAATGATTCGCACTTCTTACACAGCAAAAAATATCTGAACGTAGCTTCTATATAACAAAATCACATCCACATAAAACGTCTGATTGACAGTTTGTCAGATTAGCTCCTGGGACATCCCTTATGCATCAGGTACATTCTGATGCTTACTATAGCCATATCAGATAACGTTGAGTAAAACTCCAGATTGTAGAAACTCAGTAGTGTACTACTTTGGTCAGTCAACTGCTTAAAGTTTATTTGTTTGAAGTTAAGCAGAAATCTTCACTAAGGGCTATCTGTGCTCTGCCCACCACCAGTATCAAAACTCGGCTTCTAGCGTTGCAAGTCAAGCTACAGTTGACATTTTAGAGTTTATCAATTCCAGTTGCAACCAAAAGTACTGGAACCAGAAGAAGAGAATAGATAACAGGCAAATCATTAGAAGATACATTAAGATATGTTGTGTGACATAAGGAAAGAGAATAATTTAAATAAAATAAATTGTCATTCAAGGCCACTAAATGATCAAACTATAACTTAAAAGCACGGAGAAGATTACCGCAAAGGGTCAATATAAGCAAAAAAGGATATTTTTGAAAATATCAAAGGGAATGTCTGAGAGATAGCTTTCTGTTAAGAGAAACATGGAGTATAGCCATCAATGGATGACATTTATCAACATTTTGAACTTCAACTATTAAGACTGATTCTATATGTCAACACAAAAGCAGTTGATCTTTTCCATCACAAAATGAAGAATGACCATTTTGAATGCATCTCAAAGGTCACGGTTGACTTTTTTTTTAAATGTGGATGAAGTTTCTCAACCACAATCATGACAGATTGCAAGAAACTGTCCTAGACAACATCATGGTAACTGAATTAAGGAAGGGAAACTAGACAGCCAGAGTGAAATGAATCAACCAAACAATTAAGCAACTTGAAATATTTGAATAAGGGACGAACAACTGGCTCCAATAGTGAACAAATAAATTACTAGTGAATTGATGAGCCCTGGTATTGGGCAAAAAGCCTCGCAGAATATAGGAGATATAATGTGATTGACATCTTATTATATATTCTTCTGTACTTTTACTCATCTTGGAATTATACAGACAGAAGGATACTGGTCACTAACTTCAATAGCTATTATTTGATTCAAAGAGTGTTGTAGTTAAACATGTGTGTAAAAAAACAACTTAATAGAACATTATATGTAGAAAATAAAGTATGTTGAAAGAAGTATTTGATACACGGTATGAATATCATATTGTGTATTAATACCTAGGAGTTGCTTCTTTCTATATCTCCAGTTTGCTTACCTTCAGTGGCCTCAGCTGCTGACTGATAAGTAGTAGTTTTGCCAAGTTATTTAGATACAATAAGTTCAACAAGTCAGTGAATCAGACAATTAAAAAGGCTTAAGCTCAAAGGTAACAGAAACAAAAACACTCATATTAGTGTTACTCTTTATTAACTTCTTCAAATTTAGTTAGCTCAGAGAATAAATTTTGCATAATATCTAAGACAACATCTGAATACTGAACAGCAAAATGGTTCAATAATTAAAAAAAGAATCTTTTACAGGTGTACTACATTTGAAACGTTTTTACCTTTCCAATCTATTCAACCAATCTTTTATTTAGATTTTATGACATGATGATAACAGTGCCAAATGAATAAACAATCTTATCATTATTTTGAAAGATGATCAGACATATACTGCTATTTCTATATGTAATAACTATTAATGCAATCACAATCCTCTACAAAACCTTAATTATTAATCAAGGGGTTAATGTTCTGTCATTTTTAGCTGTCATTTCACTAAAGTGGGAATAATGATTTATGAGTGCAGTCCTGAAATATAAAACCTACAAAGCCCTCATTAACTGCAAACTGTGCTGAAAGGTATCAAATACTTGTCTAAAGCAAAGCTTATGAAAGTTTTTATTGATAAATGTTGAATACTGTTGTTTTTTTACGTAACATTAACCTGAAGTACAGGTTTGTAGTTCAAGTAAAAACATTATTCTATTGCAATTATAAATATAACAAGATTAAAAATTCTCTCTCTCATAAGCTTGCTGTTTATCCAATGAAAAAAAAAAATTAAAGGATATGTGTCTTTATATAACAAGTGAAATATCTGGTGGATTAAGTTAAATGAAAAGTGTCAACAGTTAAATACTTCAGAAATTTCAATTTGTAACTATGTTCACAGTAAAGTTGTCAACATCTAAAACTAGACAGAAAAAAATTTATATACAATAAACCTGGCAATTTTTTAGAAGTATTTGTACTAAAGCTGAATTAGTATGGACCAGAAGACTCAACAAACATACAAACTCAAATCTATATTCAACTGTACATTTGAATGTTAGGAGCTTTAAAATTAATATTACATATTATATATGGTAAATATGGTTCAACTGTATATCTGGTTTACTGTTACACAACCTGTATTAATTCCATGAAATTTCATATCTTTCAAGGTAATCGATAAACAAAAATAATTTAAAACCCTTTTAAAATATTCTATAAAATTGATAATACATCTAACCTAAGAACAGAAACTAAACTGTTCACTGATACCCATAAATAACATTATTTATGAAGAACTGTGCATTACCTACATAGCAGAAGAGAGTAAGAACTTTTTCATTTCATATATTCAGTAAAATTGATTTTTGGTTATAAAGAATTAGCGATAAAACCATGAGGAACCATCCTTCAAATACTACTATCTATATCCTAATGATGAACCTGGTTAAGATGTATGGATTATTGAAGACATCCTTTATATAACAAATGGAAAGGGGGTCTTTAGAGTGATGCATTGTAAACAACATTTAACACAGCATTTTTTTTTTCCTTAATATATTTGGTCAACATTACAAAGGTGGTAAATTCTTCTCGATAAAACGTTTTGCATCCTGCATTTCCTGAAATTAAAAAAAATAAATTACATCAACACACTGAACCATTGCATATATAAGCATGATCTAATACCAAGTAACACGATATGCATACATACAGATTTGTTATAATCACAAAGATATGAGTAATTAAGTAAAAATAAAGTTTAGAAATTAAAGTTTTTCTAAAATTTGAGAAATGAAGCCCGAGTAAAAATACTAGAAATATAACACGTGATAAAGCAGTTTATTAAATGATGTTCAATTAGTTTTATAAATAAATGCCTTAAAGGTTTGTTACTGTATTTTATTCATGAAAGGTAAGTGAATTAATGGAGAAATCTAGACAACTATCACCAAAAAAACTATAATTAAGCTACAGATTTGAACACCTAAAATACAAATATATATATATATTGTTAACATTTTTATTTATAAATATTTTGCAATCTGTAAGCTAATAACAGTGATAATAATCATTAACAAGGTTGAAAAAACATTTCAGATTTCATCCTTTATACTTTTACACTGATCTAGTGTTTGCATCAGGTTTCTAAAAAATTGGTTTGAGGGACCCCATTTACCTTAGAATTTGGATTCCCTCTCAATGTTATTGGACACCACACAGCAAATGCCAAGTACATAAGCCATCCCTGGTGGCGAAGTAGTTTTTTTCCCACAAATATGTCTCAAATTTACAGTCGGTGCCTATTTGTATGCAACACCAACTAATGCTAACCAAACAAACCATTTTACTGACTCACAGGCTCATTGTTAAGAACAGGTAACAAATGCAGATATCTAGATTACTAAATTCTTGGAGGCCTCAGTGTGAGTAGGATTACATTGTTAATTTGGGCCTAGGGTGCCAGTTATCTCTGGCCCCGTTATCAAAACAAAACAGTTCTGCACAACTTCTGGATGTACTGGCAAAATGACAATAAAAAATCAATTTTTTTCTCTCACAAAACTGCCAATATTTTGTACAAATATAGCCATCTATGTGTCATAAATAAGCTAAAGGATTGAACTTTGTGGGGTGCATGCACAGCACTAGAAAATATGTCATGTCTATTTTCAACATGATGTAACATCAATGTGAATACTACTGAAATTGGAGGACAAAAATTACTTATTTTTTATTTTAATATTAAGACTTCATATCACAAGAAACATCAGCTGGACTACAAGTAGATGACATCAACTGGATTTTAAATATTAAAGTTATCCTTTGAAAAACTTTTTTTTTCACACGGCATTTCATTGTACAGTAGCCACACACAAGTGGCTTTTCACTAAAACTTTCTCTGTGAATATATGGAGTCAAAGTGCTGACTGCTCTAAGCACAAAGTGATTTTTCATGTTAAGATTGAAAATATTTTTCTCCATCTTAAAATTGTCAAATTTCATTTGCGTAATCTCTAAAATCTACTAAATAAATTTGAAATGTTTTTTAGTAAAACTTTATATTTATCTGTCATTTTCTCTAGCCTAACTGTATGAGAGCTCGGTCAATTTGATCGACCTCGTAACCACCATAAACAAAATATGAAATTAATCTAAATTACTCTCTTTTCTTTCTAGAATGACTTCAAATTGTAACATAAAACTACATTTGTTTATCCTAAATACCTTAAAATTTGAAACAGTATATATCTGTTTCTATTTACATTTTATTGTTTTGAACCGTATCTAACTAGTAATCCCACCACACAAGTTGTAAATCACTTGGAAAACGTGTAGCTCATGTTACCCTATCAAATTACAAAGCATGGGCTACTTGCAAACGTACCTTATGTAAAATTATTAATTTTTTCTTTATTTTGCTTAATCTAACTTTAAAAGTTTATAATTTTAAATTTTAGTTACTTTTATAATGATAAATAAACACACATCAAAAACTATCAACTCCTGATGAAACTTAACCCTACTTTTTTTATGTACTAATGTTACTACTGCACTAAGTAGTTTTTTATTTTATTAAATAATGCACCTAAGAACACAAAATAATAACAAGTAAAAAGCAGACAATGTCCCATAACTATCATAATTTTCTGGCTTTCTAACTATGAGATAAGAACCATTAAAAATTTAACTAAGCTCATCAATGTGTTTCCTGTGGTAATAATTTGAACTGGAAGTGAAACAGACAATTGTCTATACAGAAAACAATGTAATACAATATGTCATTTCATAGATTAGAACTTTGGCTTTCTATCAGTTATAAATAATACAGTATTAAGTGTTAAAGAGAACTATTGGCTAGTTGTGAAAGAGAGGATAAGACAGTTTGACAAGGCAAGAAGGGTCTCATTTTCTAGTTTATGAAGATTGAAGGCTATAAATATTATACTCTGCCTTAGTAATAACAATATTATAATGAGTAATGTACATCAAATTCTGTACTTCTCGGAGGGGTGGTAAAGAAATTAGAGAAGAGGGAAGACCCAGTGATCAAATGTTATAATTCCCAAATTAGTGGAAATTGAGGATTTTTTTATTATTGCCTTATAAGACTAAGAACTTAAAACTTGTATAATATTAAAATTTTGATTATTAGCTATGTTTTGATGCCAAGTTTATTCATATACCAAGATAATAAAGTAGTTTAATTAAATATGAAATGTAACTTGGTAAAACCTCATGACATACGTAGAAAAGGATACTTGTACAGGAATAGTTAATGTGTTATACGATAAAATATTGGGATATAAAACAAACTGAAATAAACTTTCTGTCATTATAATGATTAAAATTTAAGTTCAGTTACTTTGACTATTTATTTTATCATAATTTTCAAATAAACTGTAATCTCTACATCCTTTAAAAATGTTAAGTGGTATTTCTATAAAATTCAGAAATTTATTTCAGGTTTAAAGTTCATAAATTACATCTATTGTACATTAAAATATATACACTTTTGATACACTAATTCAGTTTTGATAATTTCTATTAATCTTTAAGTTTTATTAACTACATACAGTAAATATTAAGAAGTTCATGTTGCAAAGACAGTTTTTTCTTTTATCAAATCACATTTTCTAATTTGCAACACATTACAATTAACTCTCTTACTATGAGTAGGTTAAAGTGTGCATGTCACAACCTTTTACAGAATTGCATTCAAAACGTAATTAAACTACTTTATTATCAATGTATATAAATAAACTTGGCATAAAATCATAGTTAATATATTAATTTTCATATTATACAAATTAAGTTCTTAATTTTGTAATCAAATATTTAAAAAAAAAAAACAATCTCCCCAACTATGAAAATTGTGACACTTGTTCTCTCGGTCTTCCCTCTTCTCTAATTTATTTACCACCCCTCTACGAAGTATGGAGTTTAACATAAATCATTTATATATATATATATATATATATATTGTGAACCGTGGAGTCTGTCTGAGCATTTGTCTGTCTCCCATTTTTGAAAAGCTGCACATGCAGGCAAAGCTCAATATTCACTTTTGAAATGACAGGAGAACAGGCATGAATAATGTTGATGCTAAATTTTATTTCGCAAGCAGGATATTCTACACTAAGTTGTTAGGAATTAATCACACTATCATTCACATTTCAAAATGTGACATAAATTACAAAGAATAAAAATGTCGATTTACTGTATTATTCGATGACGAGGAACCCACTAATAATGGCTGGAGACTTGTTAAACTTATATTAAAGTTTTTCTTCAATACCCATTCAAGACATCTCCAGTCATTATTACTGTATTATTGTTGAGAGGCTCTTAGCATGACTAAAATGCTCAACAATTATTTTTCACAGTGGGTGGTATAAGCAGCTCAGAGCTATAGGACATTGCTTGCTATGCATATGTTATTATCCTGTGTTCTTGGGTACATTATTTAAGTAAACAAAATTTTTAGTACCATCAGTATAACAAAAGTAGGCATAAGTTTCATCAGCAAAAAAAAGTCAAAGGCAAATAATATATTTCGTTTTTCTTATATTCTATTTATTTTTATAAAATTAACTAAAATGTAAAAATCATAAACTTAAGTTAGATTAGGTAAGATAATGAATAATAAAAAAAATTCATGAGATATGCTCACAAGTAGCCCATATATTATGTTATTCAATACAGTAATGCGAGCTACATGTTTTCCAAGTGATTTACAACTTGTATGACAGGATTATTAGTTACACACAGTTCAAAGGGCAATAAATAAAATTAAGTACAAATAGATGTATACTGTTATGAGCCTTACACTACTTAGGATAAACAAATGTACTTTTCTGTTACAATTTACGGTCATTCTAGAAAGAAAAAAGTGTAAATCACATATATTTAGTATTTTTTTTATGATATCTACAAGGTTTGTCAAACTGACTGAGTACATATAGAGTTAGGGTAAAGTAAATAACAGATAAAATATACAGTGTAACTTAAAAAACAAAAGTTTGATATTTATTTAGGAGATCTGAGATTAGACAAGTGACATTTGAACATTTTCAGATGATTTATTTTTAATCTTAACATGAAAATCAGTTTACACTTTGAATAATTAACACTTTGACTCCATATGTTCACGAAAAAATCTTTAGTAAAAATATTAAATTAAAAAATCCAAATTTTGTGTACAAAAATTTTTTATGAAGATGCAAGTACCACATTAAAAGTTATGGTATGGAAACTGCTGGTTAATTTGGGGTTTCAAGGTTGGTGTAATCCACCAACCCAATATGGCAAGAGTTAAGTAACTTGTCTTTTACGATGTAATTTCAAATATAAAGTCCTTATATCCACTTTTGCCCATGAACTGAAGCATCAGATCTACATGCATGATAATAACAGAAGTCTTACTTTCTTAAAATTATATATTTAACTCTTTGATAAATTCCTTCTTTAGGATTTACCTGACAAGAGTAGATCCACTGATTCCACATGAAGGAACCAAGTAAATAATACCAAATATAAAAATTACCAGAATGAAATGACACAGTGAATCTTAAAGTCAACATAGGGGTACCTACTTCTTCACAAGAACTATGCATCATGCCTTTATAAGTCTTAAACTCCAAGTTCTTCATAACCTTTTTTAAGACATCTGATGTCAGTTGTCCAAACTTGTATGGAACAACGGGATCAATATCACCATGGCACTGCAGTACAGGAATGTCTAAGTTCCCTACAGCAGCCTACAAGTAAAATAAAAGATAAAATTGTGAAAAGCTATAAGCATTTAACTTAATGTCCACATATTATTGTTTCAACAACTAAAGATTTTATGTCATCTCTTTAATGGCCCCCCACCCACCCAAAAAACTCAAACATGCACCACATATGAGCTAGACTTTCCACACTAAAGAAAGAAAGCAGAAATATCTAGATGGAACTTTCAAACATCTGGCAAATGATAGATAAGTTAAAGAGCTACAACAAGAGAGCTGTTTACTCCTGAGAAAACAATGTTGTCTATTAACCATTAGCAACTGAGCACTCCAATTACAATCTCTAAATCAAGAAAAAACTTCATTAATTAAGCAACAAGATGCTAAAATCTGCATAACTCTAGTCTTTTTTGATTTAGTTGTAATAAACTTTTAAAACCGAAAAAAAGAATTTGTGGACAACCTGTATATCTAAATTACCTCCACTGTTTGCTACCTCGTTTATTCTTTAAAGATTTTTCACAATCTATGACTTTGAAAACTTGGTTTAAATAAATTGTTCATACATACTGTTGAAGAAAACAAAACAACATTACAAATTTAATTTGTGGAGACAATAAAATAGTATCAGGGAAGTTTCTGTGGAAAATAAACCATATGTGTGCTAAGTTCATAATATACTGATATTTTCAGACACATACATACATACTTACTAGGGCTATACTATCAAGGCAGTTACTACTGGATGCCCATATTTTCTATTTTTATAAAGATATAAACAAAATATATTCAAAATGCTTTACTAACCTCAGGAAACTGCTTATTTAATGGCAGCCAACAACTGAAAGCAATGACCCCTGCCAGCGGTTTGGTAAACATAAGAGCAGAATACAGTGCTAGAGCTCCTCCTTGTGAGAACCCTCCTAACATTATCCTTTCTGTTGGGATTCCATTCTTTTCTTCATCTGCTATAAGCTGGTGAACTGAAGAAAAATGGTTGAATGTAAGCTTGCATTTCCTTAAATGGCCATTTAATGAGAACTAAACAACCTCCATCACATCACACATAAAACATTGTATCAAATGTACTTGCTATATCTAAAAAATTCAACAGAATTATTTTCAGAAACATTATCTTTGAAGTGCTAATATATAAATGGAATGTTAATAATTTTAAGAAACAGTTTTAACGAATGCTAAATAAAATGATAATGATGTGGATTTGTGAAATTTGTACTTGAAAGTCCTCAGGACCTATATTATATTTTTATCTAAAAAAGATGAAATAATGTGTTAGTTATTACAAAAAATAAAACATCAAAAATATTTTATAAAAAGAATGATAATTATAGAGAACCTTTCAACAATTTTGTTAGGAAAAAATAATTTGGAGGTTTTACACACATGTAACAATATCAGTATAGCTAATAAATATTAATTGTATAAACACTTAACGTGCAAAATAAAAAATCATTATACAATATCACACTGGTATAGAGTTCTTTTGTACTATTTATATCTATTGCTATTTTCTATTAAATTGAAACTTACAATAAATATGTTCTGCCAAAATAAAATGTATCCAATATTTCATTGTACCAAAATACCTAAATTTTGAAAAATCCCACAAAATAATCATTCATGTGCACATGGATAATGTACATGTACAAGTTAGAAGTATATAGATATTTAACAAATCTTTAAAGCATGATTTTCAATGCACTTTCTATATGGTTTATTTAGCTTTCAATACAGAATGGGGCTTTTTTATCAATGTTAATGGAAAACATGTGTACATTTGATAGTAACTATCAATTATACTGAATATCTGGGTGTCTTCAGAATAGCATGCTTAGTAATGGAGCCAATGATAGTTGTAGAATTCAAAAGGATGAAAAACTGTTAGAATAAAACTAAGCACAACTGCAAGTTTGTAGGAAAACTGTAAATTAAAACAACAACAATAAACAAAAAAAAAAAACAGTATAAACATTTTTAAATATGGCATACAGTAATTTTTTAAGACCATTAACTCACTCACATTCAAGAACCTCAAACACTGAAAAATTATAAT